GTCCCCCCCCCCCCCTTTACTCCTGCGCTGCTGAGGAGCTCCACTGAAAGCTTTCCCGAACTTTGAGCCGCCAAGACCAACACCAGGGACACAAACACAGCCATGTGAAACTGCCCATCGATTTTAATCTGCTTTTAAAGGGAGATCAGAGTTGGTTGATATATATATATATATAAAAAAAAACATCATCCCGGTTTTTTAAACCCACACAATTGAAATGAATGATTGATTCCACCTTTTGGATTTTGATGAACTCTTAAATGTCTGAACAAATCCCGAATTTGACTTGAAATGCACTTAAATTTGTATGATATGAAATAATTCAGAGTTTAGGGTTCTTCCTCCTCTGGGCTGTGTGTTTCCTGTGTATCCCTTCTTAACGTTGTGGTGTTGGTTCTGGTTAAACGGCAGCACATCTAATCTGGACTGTAATCAACACTGTGGGTGAACTTTGCCATATCAGCACAGTTTGGCCCTGATGAACGTCCCTTCAGGCCTGAATTTTGTCCTTGTCTTATCGTTTTTCATTACCTCTGTTCGACACCGCAGAAGCTCGGACACTCAAATTGGTGCTATTGTGAAACAAACCAATGGGAAAAGCAGATCAGATCCACCACGACGGAGCTTTTAAAGCAAACAAAGTGTGTCTGCAGTGATTGTTTCCAACCAGGCACGGAGGAAAACAACTAAAAAAATGGAGGAAAAACCAACATTCCTGTTGAATGTGGGTGCTCAGTGCATTTTCAAAGAGTGCAAATTGTAACTTGTGTTTTGTTTTGGTTTCTCTCCCCTCGACAAGCAGCTACGACAAGCTATCCTGCACTTGCCTACTTTAGAGCTGTCCATAGAAATGGCACAAACCAACAAAAAAAAAACAAGAACAGCAACAAGGAAAAAGTCCAAACAACAACAAACTTTGGAATAGATGTCCATTCTCTTTCCAGCAGTAACAAGCAATAACTCTTGTAGTCCTTTTTGTCTCGTCAGATTGAACCCTCTTCCTCTTATTTTTCTTCTCCCCTATGAAGACTGTGTGACCGTCCAAAAAGCAGATGTATATTCTTTTGTTTGTACATAAAAGAAGCTTAATTAATTAAACCTTACAAAGGAGTTAAAAAAAAGTTAGAGCTCGTGGATAGAATATATTGCCTCTGTTGCTGTTTGACCTGTGTTTATTGTGAATGTCAAAACTTTTTGGGGGGGATGTATTTGGCATTCCTAACGTGGTCAGGTGATCTGTGGAGGGAAAGCCTGGAGTTTAGGGAGGAAAAAACGGGTTGTATGATGTCAATGTTCGCTATCCCAACTCCACTGGCATTAAGAATTGCACTTCAGCCACAGCTCTATGTACATTTTATTTCCCACTCTCCTTCTCTCATGGAGCTCACCTGTATCCTTTTGTATGTGAAAAAAAACAACTCCTTTTTAAAATATTTATTTCTCAATCCCTCAAATGACACAAGCAATGGGGAAAGAGAAGTTAACTTATTTTGGTTTCGTCTTATTGTACTCCTCCTTTTGATGCTTATTCCTCATTCCTTATTTTAAGAATTGTATATTTTATGGCTTATTGTAATTTTGTTTTCGGGGTGGTGTGGGTGGGACGGGATATGAAATGTAGCCATTTTATTTTAATTTTATGTTTTATTCAATGGACACTTGAAATGTAATCGGCCCCTAAGCTGCTCCTGGTGCTGAGCCCCGCCTGTTTAGAGTCACCAGCCTTGTCCTCAGTTGACCCCCCCAACAACACGCAATGCCTGAGATGATACATGCAGACCCTAAACAACTCGATAGACAAGATGGCTTCCCTCCATACCCAGCCTTCTTCACTACTAGTATATCAATTCTCCTATCCCGTTGTTTTAGGGTCTGTGCTGAGGGGGTGGGGGTCATCTCTTCACAAGGTTTTATCTATAGCCAAGACTTTACTGGCAAATTGAGCCAGCTACTACACAATAAAAGGAGTCTAAAACTCAACCTTCCTCTATTAGAGAGGTTGTAGTCTCTATTAGACTTGTGTTTTAGTTGACAAAATGTGTCTTACATTTACAATTCAATGCCTCTGACTGAGGATTTCAAGAAGAAAATCAACAAAATGAACAAATCCTTTTGGTTTTTCTGAAGGACGTCATTAAGGTGTAGAGTTTGACATGTAAGCTCTTTGAGAAGCTATGTGGAGGTTGTTGGACTTGGCACTGAATCAGAAAGTCAATGCTTCAGGTGCTTGACTATTTAAATAAAACAAATGCCAAAAACACCTTAGAACACCTCAGTGTCCTCTCTCTCTGTCTATCTATATATATATATCTCTCTGAGGGAAAGTTTACATTTATTCTTCCCCTGTTTAAGTTATTAACCTTCAACTCTTTGTTTTTTTGGTCTTCATATGTTGGTTTCATGAACCTGCACTGCTGACAGGAAAAAGGTCCTGTGTTTGACAACAAAATGAATTCCACTCAGACCCGGATCGCATCCTATTGGTGTTTTTAACCTGCTCGGAGTACAATATATTTTTAACACAGTGGAGCAATTCTGATAGTGATGGGTTTTGTTGTTCACCACTGAAATGTGTGAAAACTGTCTGGCACTCATTGTATCGTCTCATGTGGAAAAACTAGTCTAAAATTGTAGTCCCGGACGGGATATAAGAAACTGTAAGAACTGATTTTACTGAGGCCAGGTCTGTCCTCTCTCATGTGAGTGTACACACTGTGTATGAATGTGTGAGCATGTGTGTGTGAGCGTGTGTGTGTGTGTGTGTGTGTGTGTGTGCGCTCTATGTTCTTACTAAGGCTGAGCTTTAGAGAGGCACCTGCTCCACAACGAGTCTGCACTGATCTCAGTTTGGCTGATTCCCACCTGCTACTCATTAAATATTAGACTTCTGGAGCATATTTGTCCAAAAAAAGAGACAATATAGCCAGTGTCTAATATAATTTCTGGGACTGTCACATAATATGCAGCAAAAATGTTGCTAAAAAAAGTTAACTGAGCTCAACTGTAGGTGCAGACTGGTCCTGGATCAGCCCAGGTTAGTTGGGATGTCTGACAAAGAGTTTCTGGCTATATGCTGCATATTCAAAACAATAGCATATCTTCATAAGCTGGTGATCACAAAGCTATATTTTTACCTCTGTGTTTTAAGTTAATGAAGTCCTATGGTCCAGGTTAACTTTCTAGGAGGGTTCAGTCCCAGTTTTGGAGCTTGGCCAGAATGTGCAGTGTATTTTGTAAATCACACTCTATTCTGGCATCTCGCTTTGAGCAAACAGCTACATGAGGAATATGTTAGCCCAACCAAAACGAGTAGTCCCACGTGGGGAGTTGTCCTGTTGTTATGAACCTGTGGCTATCCTTTGTAAAACATGCTGTCTGATGATGATTCTAGCCGTGTAAGTTGAAGATGCAATACTTACAATAAAACACCAAGATTTTCAAACCTGAATGACTCAACTGGCCTCTTTTTACAATGCAATGTATTTATGTTGAATTAACTGTAAAGCAATGACTAACACCGCAAAACATGCTATAATTTATTCCAAATAATGTAAAGGCTTCTTTTTGCAAACTGTCAAGTGTCATATCTGTTTTTTAATTATTGACACCGACAAGAGGTAACAAAACATAACATACATTTCCTATAAGAAATGTCAATAAAGAGTAAATAGGTCTGCTGCTAGGCAGGTTTCATAAACAAATAAAAAATACTCTGATATGATAGATATCGTGTTTAAGATGGGTTACCTTAGAAACAATCGTGTCGCTGGAAGCCACGCCCAAATGTTTCCCTCGCTGGCCCCGCCCACCGCCGCTCGCGCTACTTTGAGCAGTGCGCATGCATATAAAGCGCATGATGCGCATCATGTTGACATATATATTTTCAACATTAGAGGAAAACTTCGAAAGTTTCCAGACACATGTTTGACAGACATGTGTAGTTTGTTGTGATTCCATACCGGGGGCTCACAGGTGTATCAGAATGGTAAGTTTAGTTAGCATATTTTATTTGTTGATGTTGTTGTGTTAGCTCGCTAGCTTTCAATTATCAGTGGCTGACAACTTGTTAGAGGTTGTGTAACATACAATACATTCTAGTGGGGCTTTTTTGGAAGAAATGGAAGGACGTGTTACACATAATGCTAACTGTTAACAGTGCCAGAGACTGGCGACCCCCTGTCGACGGGGACGGGGGGGGGGGCTAGTGAATTAATTTCAGTTTTCCGCACTCTCGCGGGAGTGTCATTATTTTCTCACTACTATCACTACTACTATTACTATTACTACTACTATTACTATCACTACTGTCCTTATTAGGCATTATGTAATTTGTTATATACTGTTGGAATGGGTAAGCAGGCCTATTGTTTTTGGATATTTGTGGAGTTAGGTGGTCCATGAGTGTTTTTTATTGGTTAAGTGGTCCTTGGTATGAAAAAGTTTGAGAAACACTGCTAGTGGATTGTCAAAGGGGGAGCCTCGTTGCGGGGAAATTATACAGATGGCTAGTCCGCCCCTGAAAATGTCTATGCAAACGTTATTNCTGTAGTACATATGCCAGGCCTGTAAGTGGCGCTGTAGTCTGCCACAAAAGCAGCAAAGAAGACTTCCTGCGCAAGGTTGCCATGGTTGCCCTTCTGTTTATTCTCCGCTGTGGCTCTTTTTCTCCATCCCCGAGGTAAGCGTTTGCGCCTCC